ATACGAGTAGATCGTTTGAAGATGCAGCAAAGTTTTAAAGTTTTGGAAAGAAAGTAACCACTCAAAATTATATTAATGAGGATTAAGTTCAGGTGATGCTTGCTAACATTCAGTTCAGAATCTTTTTCCGTAACATCTGCTATCTAAAAATATAAAGATTTAAATATACGAGAATGCTACAAGCCTTAGGGTCGCTGGTTCCATTCCCGATGAGGTGATCGGATTTTTTCAATTGACCTAATCCTTCCAGCCGCACTATGGCATTGGGGTTGGCTCAGCCTCTAACAGAAATGAGTACCAGGAATATTCTTGGGGGCACAGGGCGGCCGACGCGTAAGGCTGACAATCTCACCGCCATCTTTGAGGCGATTATCTAGAATGTGTGGGAGCCTCGACGTCTCACAACCCTTTGGGCCTCCACGGCCTGTTACAGGGATAGCTTTACCTTTAACTTAACCTATAATCTGTCTGTGTTTCTGTATGGGCGTGAAACTGGTTTACAATATTAAGGGGTGTAATATAGACCTAGGGTGTTTGAGAACAGGGCGCTGAGGAGAATATTTGGGTCCAAGAGGGATGGAAGAGTAAGGTGACACGCCCCGGCCGCTTTATCCATGGTGAAAGAGTCCTCGCTACTCATTGGTGGGCCCCAGAAGCTGTGTGGACCATTTTGAAAAGAGAAAATGCTTGACCCTACCGGGACTCGAACTCCGAACCCTCAGTCATCCAGTCCGTAGCCAGTCGCTATACCGACTGAGCTACCCCGGCTGCGGATGGAATAGCAAGAGGTTATACAACATCGTATAATGAGGAACTTGATAACTTTTACTTCACGACAAATATTACTAGAGTGAGCAAGCCTAGGAGGACAAGACTGGTGCCGCATGTAGCAAATATGAGATGCATACAAAATTTTGTTAGGAAACCCTGAAAAACGAGACCACTAGGAAGACTTAGATTTGCATGTGAGGATAATATTAAAATGGTCTTGGTGAAGTAGGTCTGGGTAGATTCGACTGGCTTAGGATAAGGACGAGTGACGGGATGTTGTGAACAAGGTAATGAACCTTCGGGTTCGGTAAAATTCTGGTCATTTCTTGAGTTGTTAAGCAATTATTGGGATCTCACGAAGAACTGAGCCCCAGAGAGTGAGTTACTGTAACGCCTAGCCGTCGGAAAGGTTAGGAGTTTCGCCGATAGCCAGTCAGTTGTCCTGCTTAATGCTGAAGGAGCCGGACCTGTCCTTGTACTGATTCCCTTAATGAGTTAGCCTCGTGGGTTTGTTATGCAGGCAGTTCTGTTGGCTGTCAATTACATCTGTAGGGATTCCCCGTGTCTGGATCGGAAGAAATGAAGCCGCACAGCTGCAAAAACAACACATCTCGGTATGTTCGCGCGCCAGCGAGGAGTTTCATACAGTGAACGGGTGATAGGGAGGTCTCCTCAGTCCATAATGTTCATCTCAGAACCTCCAAGGTGTGCCTAAAAATTGTCGAACTAGAATGATCAAGTCAAGGAGGATGAGGTGGGCAGGGTATGTAGCACGAATGGATAGAAGAGGAATGCATATAGGATATTGGTGAGAAAGTCGCAAGGAAGGAAACCACTAGGAAGACCAAGACGTAGGTGGGTGGACAATATTAAAATGGATCTCAGAGAGATAGGATGGAATGGTATGGATTCGATTGATCTGGCTCAGGAGAGGGACCAGTGAACACGGTGATGAACCTTCGGGTTCCATAAAATGCTGTGAAGTTCTTGAGGAGCTGCAGAATTGGCGGCTCCTCAAGAAGGGCTCAGCTCCATGAGTGAGTAAGTAATCATGTGAGTCTGGTGTTTCTTCACAGAAATCTGAAATTAAATTACAGGTTTAAAAGCAAAGAATGCAGGGAATTCAAACGCCTGCAACTTAAAAAGGAAAACTGATATGACGTTGTTGGTACTTGAGTCGTAATCGTAAACTGGAACAGTCCCGCTGGCACAAGTTGCGCGCGCATCCCAACTGTAGTTAACAGACAGCATCTTTGGTTACGTGTTCTACATAATAAATACAATATGTACCATAAAATCCTCTTAGTAGACCCGGTATTTGTTGCATGATAACTGCTAATTTAAACAAAATATCTACTAATTATACGTATATATTTTATTGTCTGGAATTAGTTTGGCGAAACGTACCAAACGAGAGAAAGAAATATGAGAAATGCATATAAAATTCTAGTTGAAACATCACGCGAGTAGAGAATTGAGGCGTAAATGGATAGACAATAGTGGAAAAGGATCTTAAAAAATTGTGACATGAATTATGTCTAATCCTATCCCTGTAAGAGGCCGTGGAGGCCCGTAGGGCTGTGAGACGTCGAGGCTCCCACATTTTCTAGACAATCGGCTCACAGATGGCGGTGAAGTTGTCAGCCTTACGCACCGGACGCCCTTTACCCTCAGGAATATTCCTGGTACTCATTTGTATTAGAGGCTGCGCCGACCCCATGGCCATAGTGCGGCTGGAAGAATTAGGTGAATTGAAAAATCCAATGACCTCATCGGAATCGAACCCGCGACCTTCCGGCTTGTAGCATAATACCTCAAGCAACTATGCTACATAGTGCCTTAGTACGCCTACTGTCTGCTTCAGCAACTAAGAACTCTGCAGTTTATGTACACAGAGTGTTTACGTGTTTCTTACGAATTTCGGCACAAACACGGATTAAATCCTTAAACTATCGACGGTTTGAAGGAAGACAGAGTTTTCCTGTTATATAGAACCTCATTTTTTAATATCATTTATTTTCTTGTTTCTCAGGCTTAAAGGCCAGACTTTTTTCTTTGAGACATTTCCACCAAGCAGAGGTTTAGATAGACACATTAAAATAAGTTGCAGTCTATTCACAGTTCATCTAGCAATGTCGCCACCAGCAGCAACAAACAAAGGAAGTGCGCTTGGCGCTAATCCGCCTGGTTCCAGTTTCATATGTAAATGAGATGACAGGGAGGACGCTTAATCCCGTTCAAATGTGGTTACGGTCGAGCGGTTTCATCTGTTTCACGTGTTACAAATGTGATCACGGAGCGTTCGTAAACGTGTCTCCCCACAGATCATATTCGGAACTCGTGTTAAGCTGAATAACAGCAATCCTTTCAAAACAAGTCATGCACTGTAAATATATAGACAAATAATGGTTGAACATTGAACGTAGTCAGCACGCTTAACCGTGTTATAGTAAGTAAAGCTATCCCTGTAACAGGCTGTGGAGGCCCATAGGGTTGTGAGACGTCGAGGCTCCCACATTTTCTAGACAATCGGCTCACAGATGTTGGTAAAGTGGTCAGCCCTACGCGCCGGCCTGCCTCTGTTAGAGGCTGAGTCAGGGCCATAGTGCGGCTGGAAGGATTGGGTGAATTTAAAAAATCCAGTGACCTCATAGGAGCTTGAACCCGCGACCTTCCGGCTTGTATCATAGTACCTCAACCAACTATGCTACCGCGTGCCCAACGGCGTTAGAGTTGCAGAACTAATTGTGTCGGTATAGTGACCGGCTACAGGCTGGATGGACGGGGTTTGAATCCTGGCAAGGGCAAGTTTTTTTCTCTTCTCCACAGTGTCATACCGTCTTTGGTGCCAGACTAGCTTTCTATCCAATGGTTACCGGAGGCGATTTCTATGGGAGTAAAGCTACAAGGACATGAAGCTGACCACTCACGTACATCTAATTTCGAGGTCAAAAAAAGTGGAGCTGTACCTCCACTTCCCCAAATGTCTTCATGGCATGATGCTTAATTAAGCATATGAGTGAGGTTACCTCAGCGTCAATTAATTTTATACAAGGATTGGATGGTAAAGCAGGCCGGAAGGATCACAAGAAACATTCTTTTAATAAGAGTACTGCGTCCTGGGATATAACGTTTAGTCGAGTGGAAGTTTAGCGACGTTTCGGAGGAATATACTGTGTCATTTTCAATGTCGAAGAATATGTCAAGCAACGAATCAAGGCAGAAAGTTGGTGAACCAAACTGCACGGCGTAACATAAAAGAAGATATTGGTTTTCGTAGTCATCTCTGTGAAATCCTCAGATCTCATTCTTCGACCATATTTCCACCTGATGGTTTTAGTAGTATTCAGAAGAGATTGCGGGAACTGCCATGTTCTTTCTTCTCTTCATCTGTGTGTAATAGGGCCCACATTGCTTGAACCGATTTCGATCAAACTCGATATATCATACCTGCACTAAATATAGGCCGACTGAGTAAGATAGCTGAGTCTGTAACAATTCTGACTTGTACCTGGAAGGTATCGAGTTCGAAACCCGGCTGAGACACCGACAATCCTCTCTGAAAGGTTGCTCTCAATGCTCACAAGAGCCATTTATTGATACCTGTCCTGAGCCAGATTAATCCAATCAATTATACCTTATCCTATCTCCCTAACATCCATCTTAACATTATCTGGTGCCATGAGCAATAATTATACTTAGATAATTCTTATAGCTTGCCTTACTTCATATGAACTCCATCCTTAGCTCATTCTTTTTTTTTTTTGTTATCCTATTTCTAACACTTTAAATACAAATGCTATTATTTTTAGATATATCCTGCAGCAATCTTATGTTGTTCTGCGGAATGAACGAATAATAATGATGTTAATTACTCCTAAGTCGAGGATGATAAAATGAAGACGGTAGAAATATAATTTAATTAAACAGCTTCGAATTGAGAACAGACGGCTACATGCATACAGATTCACGTCAATGAGTTTCAGCTCTCAGTAAAATGAAGGAGAAAAAAATAGTTGTGTTATGTATTGGACTGACGTAGCATGAATGTCTTTATCTGTTCGGGTGTCGGCATCATGCGAGCTTCCAATCGAGCCATCGAAAACCTGTTCCATAAAGTCCCCCCATCTCTCTGAAGATGGCAGCTCCTGTCAGTTCGACGTGGTGCACATGTATCGATACATATCGGCCAATGATGTAGTTATGGAACGAGTGTATAGGATGTAAATTCATGATTATATTACAGTATTAAATTTTCATGAGTGTTGCTTTCAGTTTTCAAAGAATCGTCACATTTCTCTTCGAAAATTAAAAGAAATATAATCAGGCGTGTCTTTTATGTGTAATATAATTAACCAGGACCTTTACCCACTTCCTTCCTTCATTCTTCTTCGAGATTAATGCCGCGTGAATTTTTTTTTTATAATCGTTCGCATCAGTAATTACCGTGTTTTATAGTGTAAATCTGTTAATGGGTTGGCTAATGTTACGTGTAGTAGTGCTGATTAAACTGCAAAAGTGTCGTTAAATATCCGCCTCTGTCTGAGTTGATTGAAGCCAGAAGTTTATGTGAATATTATTTAAGAATTCGCTTCCTACCTAACAGAAAACACATGGTGTGCGCATTACAAAGATCAATGGTTAATGTTGTTTAAGAAGACAGTCGTTCCTTATTTAATTTGAATCAGGTGATGCATATCGTAATAGATGCACCTTAAGAGGTTAACGGAGTTTGAGGAGTTATCGTTGCCTGTTTTAAGGTAATATTCCAGTAGTTGCCCAGAGGGATAGTAAATTTAAAGTGTCGGCAGTTTCCAGCACTTGATTCGAAACGGAGACCTTGCAAATATGAAGTAGGAGTGTTAATGACAACATTTTGACTTGGTGTGTGCCATTACTGAGTTCTTGGTATCAAGGGGTTCATAGTTCAGGCGATTAAGGCTGAGTCATTCACCATATATGAATTGATAGTTTAGTCTGGCAATCCTTGACATGGAGGGGCCTTGGATTTCCAAGGGGATAATGTTTATGAATTTTTAATTTACCAACTGACTGAGAACAATTTTTTGGAGTAAGTAATGTATTATAAACATATGTCAAGTAATTCTTCAGATAAATAAACAAATGATGGATTTGGGGTTCTTGAAACAGTGTCTGTTAAGACTACTATCTTCTGGAGTATGATGTTGTGTAATCTAGTAGGAGTTTTCTGGCTTTCCACCTAAACATCAGAGTACTTCTATCAGAACACATGGCACTACATCCCAGAGATGCTAAACTTCAAATAATTAATAATTCATTATTAGTTTCTTATCTCTGCTGATTGAAGTTGAGAGGTTATGGCAACAGCTTTGAAGTGATGTGTATTAATGTTTTATTTCATTTCAGCAGTGTAAGAATGAGCGCATTTGATATCACAGTTCTGCAGTACTTTACAGCCTATGGCTTACCAGTGCTCAGCATTGTAAGTTTTATGCTCCTGATAGCAAGAAATTTATCTCTTATAAGAAGCTGGATACTGTCAAGAGCGATATCTAGTTTTGATGCATCATATGAGAGTTGTTTGGTTGACCACAAGAAGTCTCTCTTCCTGCCCCTTCACGATATTGTGTCATCAGACTGGAAACTCAGGAACAAAGGATGTATCCGCATAGTGGAGATTGGCTTTCGAACAGGTTAGTTGGAATATAGGCTCGTGAAAATTGAGGATCTTAGACCGGTGGCTGAAGATAACTTTTCTGGGATGTGGCATTGTAGAGTACCAGCTTCTCACAGGATTATACTGCTACCATCATCAGGGTTGAAGAGCAAGCAAGAAGCAAGTACAACTGTACTTGATAATCAGTTCTTGCTCATGGGTTGTTTTACTTGCTATTTGACCTTGAAGATGAAAACAGAATGTTATTCCAAAATGTCACTGAACTTCTATCTGGCTAAATGCCGTCACATCCCAGATGATATTGCTCTTCTTCATGAAGAGGCGGTCCGCAGCCCCCTGGCCGTGGTATGACTTCATGTCGGAAGAGAAGAATTGCTTTCTCAGTGCTACAGACATGCATATTGCAGTAATTATTCCATCAGTAATTTATCATACCTTTTTTTCATGGAACTATACATGATATTGCTGATCACAGTGTCCGCGGAGTCTAAGGCATAAATTATTTTTACTTTGCTCGCTCAAACACGGGGACCATGGGTTCAGATCCCACTCAAGGCATGGATGTCTGTGTGCATTTATTCTGTGTTTATGTTGTTCTGTGTGTAGGTAGTGGCTTTGTGATGGTCTGCTCCCCTATCCAAGGAGTCCTACTGACTGTTTATAGGCCCAAGAAACCGAAAAAGTGGCCAAGGTCCAACGAAGGGCTGTAGAGCCATAATAATAATACATGATATTAGCTGTAGACTGTGTGTTTAACACGTAAACTTTATGGTGGACATGCACCAATGATACTAAGTCACATTGTATTTTTAATTTTTTTGTAATATATTGAAACATTCTTATAAGATATTTTCAAATTTTGATGTATTGTGATGAGCAATGTTTCTATTGGAGTGACTGCAAGTGCCCCTGTTTGCTGTTTTCAGGAGAAAACATCAAGTACTACCCTAAGAACAGTCATCTTGTTGTGGTTGATCGCAATGTATACATTCATGCATATCTGAACTCGAACCCTGGTCTCACAAGCAAAGTGAATATAGAGCGTGTCATCTTGTCTTCTGAAGACCGCCTGGAAGCTATCCCTGACAGCAGCGTAGATGCGGTCGTGGCAACATTTGTTCTCTGCTCTGTGACAAGGATTAATCTCATTCTTAGTGAGATTAAGAGGATCTTAGCTCCGGTAAACACAAATTAAGATGAATGAGTTCCAGGAATAATGTATACTTCCCTTAACCCAATGTTGACTTCGAAATGAGGTTGGCCACTTTGTCTAAACAGTTGTATCACATCTCAGGGACATTTTGAAGTTCATCTTGGATTTTTCTAGTATTTTTGTCTTGGCATCATTGAATCGGTGGTCTGCTTTGACCCCAAGAGTGTACTTTATTTATCAATATATGCAAAGAGGGTCTTCTGGGTTATGATACTGTGTTATGTGGTACATAGATACCCAGAAGATATACCCACCTACCAGAAAATACAGTGTCTCTTAATTTTTAATGCCATGGAAATCTCTAATTTTATAAAGGATGTATAACTTTATAAAGTTTGAAGCTTTCATGGTGAATAAACATGCTAAATTCTTCTTGGATGATTAGCTGTTTTTAGTTCAACATTGACATGGCTGATTGCCCAAGAAAATTTTAGCAGATGTATGATTTCTTTTTTCTCAGGGTGAGCTTTAATTTCAGGGTAATGATGTAATATAGTCTGGCAGGTTATACCCTGAAATGGATGTAGCATGTCCATCCAAACATTGGTACTTGCCAACCAGACTGTAGAGTGTTGTGACCCAGAAGATCGCAATATGGCTGTTGAAACTATAATAAAGAATCTATTATCCTTTGCAGGGTGGCCTCTACTTGTACCTGGAACACTGCCCTGACCCCCGGGATACATTTCTCTACAAGATGCAGAACTTCCTAACAACCACAAAACTGTGGCCAATGATATTTGATGGCTGTCACTTGAACAGAAATGCACTGCAGGAAATAAAGTTGGCTCAGTTCTCTGATATGAATTATCAGTATGTTATGATAGACAGCGAGCATAATAAATTTTCAAAACTCATGAGGATTCATGTGATTGGAACAGCAGTTAAATAAACAGAACAGCCAGTAACTCCGAAATGCATCAGACTGGAGGAAACGTTTTACTTGCTCTGACTTTGTAGTTAGATGTAAAGAGAATTAGATTTTGTCTAGGATGTGATGTTGTGCGGTCTGGTAGTTAGGTATTGACATTTTATAGGAACCTGCCGCATCCATCTTCAGGAGAAATGAAAACCAATCTCTGAAGATAGAGGCAGTAAGTTCTCGTGAAACAGTGGTAACATTCTATCAGATTACACACCATCATATCCCAAAAGATGATACAGTGGAATCGCCATTTAATATTCCTCTCTCTATCCGTTTCCTCATTTAACAATCAGTTTCAGTGTTCCAAGTTCAGTGAGTTCAGTGTTGAATTCTCTCTGTTGAACACTTTCTCCAGTTTAGTGTTCAGAACTACTGATTTGTCAGATTTGAAGTCCGCACAGTGGTGAATGAAGAGCGGGGTCTTGCGTGTTGTAATACTGTGTAGTTCGGAGAGCGCCCACTCTTTCGGAGGAATGTATCACCTTCGTCCTCAGGGTGGATGAGTAAGGCAAGTAAGAAACCAGGAGAAACAGTTGGCAAGCTCAGTGGCCTAAGCGGCAGCTTTAGTTCGATATACTTTTGGAACCCTGGTCAAACTTGACACCCAGTGAACATTCTTTTCTGTGGTCTGCTTGTTGCAGTGTTCATTAAGGTCAGTGTTGGAATCTTCAGAACTGAAGAACGCTGTTTTGTAATGTTCAGATCTGATAAACTCATTCTTTCCCTTGAAGACAGTTTAAGTTTGTGTAAGTTGGTAATTCAGTCTGTGGTGTCTACAAAGGATGGTATAACAGTCTGTTTAAATTGATTATCTGAGCAGCCCTTTGAAGTGTCCCTGATGTACTCACTAAAAGTTGCGATATTGGACATTATTGTGAACTGTGATATGGAAAGAAGGCATCTAGAAGACATGCAGTTTCCTTGGGGATGGCCGCCTTACTACAACAGGCTTGAAACTGTCGATTCATTTGATAGAGCACCTATCGCAGTACATAAAGGTAAGTTGTGCACGCGTTTGTTTTCCTTGTCTGTTGTGGTGCAAGCAACAGTGCATTGATCTTCCATCCCCCAACAGGCTGAAGCATTATCTGTGTTGCTATGTCTTAACTAAGAGTTGTAGTTATGGGGCGGCTGCGGGTTCAATTCTTGATGAGGTCATTGGGTTTTTTTCAGTTTACTGACTCCTGCCAGCTGCGATATGACCCTAGGATCGACTCAGCCTCTAACGCCAGTGCGTAAGGCTGAGAACTTCACTGCCATCTGTGAGCCGACTGTCTAGAAAATATGGGAGCCTCAACGTCTCACAACCCTGTGGACTTCCACGGCCTGTTAGAGGGATAGTTTTACCTCGTTAAGAGTTACATGCAAAATACAAGTGTTGTATCTGAGGCAGTATTTGTATGAAGCTGACTGTTTTTGAGAAATTCAGTAGATTAATAACAGTGCTCATTTGGCACGTGCCATTAAAAGCAGTGAAGAGTGTCATGCTACGTTTGTGCCATGTAGTTCTCGCCAGTACCGTTTCTGTACATTTCATGTGTCTAGACAGTGTACAGACATCACGTGCATAAGTAAAATTTGGCCCTCTAATGCAGTTCTTTGTTCTTGCTGTTTTTATCTCAGGAAATTCCTGTTTATATCCTTTGAGTTATGTATTCATCAGAGAACCTAGCATCATGAGAGAACATGTTTTGTGTATCAGCCAGACAAAATCACTTGTATTGATATATATATAGGCTGAGGAAATAAAAGCAACAATAAATACAGATTAATTTAATGAAATTTTTTCTACAGTGTAATATGTTTTATGAAGATAAAAGGAAATCTGATGAAAACTACTACATATATTTCCACATACATTTCCTTTGGTAGCCAGGGCTCGTGTAATGGCCAATGCGAACCAAGTGGGTTCCATGGATGGCACAATTTACAAAGCTTTTTCTGGTCTACACTGTGGGAAGGAAAAAACATCCCGTCTTCCATGGATCGAGCCCCCATTCCTCAGTTATCCGACAGGTAGTCTAGTCACTGTACTGAGTTATCCTGGTTGTGAATCGCAACAAATGTTAACAACTGTTGTTACACATCACACAGGGTTTGTAGAAATAAGAAAAAGGCTTGAAGAGAACTTTGATTATGCTGGAGGCATAAGCCTATATATTTTGTTAAAGAACATGTTCTCGCCTGAGAATCATACACCCTGGGATGTTCTGTCTTTGAACTACTTCACATAGAACGGTCACTGTCCTGAATCAAGCAGGCGTTATCATGTGATGCTGATTCTGGTTGCCCTGTTGTTATCGTTGACTTGTAGCGCCTCCAGAGAAACACAGCAACCGGTGTAATTGTTGCCACCACGAGTATGGTACAAATGAGAGGCGTCAGATACCTAACTGTTGCTGGTGATTGTTGTACCCATTGTTTCACAGCCTTTGTTGGCATGATGCGTGTTGTTTCTGGGGTTGAAGTAGTGTAGGATATGGTTGGGCTGGTGGAGATACACGTCATGGAGTCCAGGATATCCCATGAAGATTTAGCCTCATCAGTACACAGAACATTCCCTGTGTTCACGTGTTTCCTCAAGGACCATAACCTCAAAGCCTGCAAATCACAGTCACATTCAAGTGGGTTGCCTGATATGTCTAATCGTCTCAGGTTATCAAGAGTATCAAAGAGCCTTATGTCAAGTGATCTGAATTGGTTGTCTGACAGATCAAATTCGTCCAGTTGCTTGAGTTCAGAGAAGATGTTTGAGGTTGTGGCGGGTGTGTCTGCCGACTGTTCATACCTTTGACCGTCGAGTTTCACCAATTTGTTGTTCCTAAGAGACAGTTTCTTAAGATTCGTTAGGTTCTGGAAAGATTTGATTGGTAAGTAGGTTATTTTACAGAAATCTAATTCCAGATACTTCAAGTTGGGCGCCAGCAGAATGGGTTCATCGTTGACGAAATTCAGTTCATTGTGCTGAAAGCGGAATTCAGTTATGCTTGGACATTGCAAGAACATATGCGGATCAATATCACTTATTCGATTTTGACTGAGATCCACAAATTTTAAATTCACGTTGTTGAAAAATGTTTGAGGTTGAATGAATTTGATTGAATTCCAGCTGAGGTCGAGTGTTTGAAGTTTTGTCGCCGATTTTAGGGTATCAGGATGGAAGGATGTTATGAAGTTGTTACTGATGTTCAGTTCTCTGAGTTCGAGGTTTGTGAGAAACGTGTTTCTGAATAGGTATGAGAGTCTGTTGAAGCTAATATCTAGGTGTCTGAGATCTATAGTATTCCTGAACAGTTCTGAATCGATTGCTGCGAGAGAATTGCCTCTAATTACTATGTATTCGAGTTTTGAATTGTTTTGGAATATCGTATGGGCTAGAGAGAATATCTTGCTGTGACTTATATCTAAGAATCTTAATTCAGTATTGTAACCAAATGTATTATATTGAAAATAGCCTATGTTGTTTGATCCCAAATCCAGATATCTAAGTTCCCTTGCATTCTTAAGAGTGTCAGAATGAAATATAATCCTGTTCATCCTGTTACCTTTAAGGCTCAAATACTGAACGTTCTTGTTGTTTCTAAACGTCCTTCCATCAACCCAACTGATGTTATTGTTACTTATGTCAATGTGAACTAGCTTTGTGTTTTCCATGAATATATCACTGTGCAGGTTGGATATGTTGTTGCTGCTTATATCAAGATGTAATAATTCAGTGTTTTTCTTGAAACTATCTGGAAGCAGATTGACAATATTGTTTTTACTAACATCAAAATGCCTTATGGAACTACCATTAATAAGGTCAACTGGGAGGAAATTGATTTTGTTGAAACTGAGCTCGACTATCCACAGATTTGGGTTGTTTTGGAAAACATAGGGATCTAGAAACGTTATCCTGTTCTTGGTGAGGTACACATTGTTTAGTAGAGGGTTTTTCTTGAAGGTGTCCGGATGTACATTGTCAAGAAAATTCTCGTTTAAGTACAGTGTGGCTAACAGAGGGCAGTAAGTGAAAACGTCAGGATGAAGTGAAGTTATTTCGTTCTTTTTCAGTGACACTGCTTGGAGCGTTGCCAATCCTTGGAATGCGTCTTTTTCAAGAACACTCATGTGATTGTTATCCAGTAGCAGAATTTTTAGGCTGGTAATTCCAAGTTCATTGAAGGCATTGTTACGTAGGACAATGATCGCGTTGTTTGTGAGGTTAAGGCGTTCTGTGTTAGTTTCCAATCCTGCTGGAACCGAGTCCAGAAGAGCCTGTGAGCAGTCTGTACCAGGTAGAATCCTGTGATTGGTGATGTCGTAAACACCTACACCACACTGGCAGGATGTGGGACATGAAGATGCACGACTGGCAGTTATGAAAAATAACACAGCAGTGGTCAAGATCTGCTTTTGAACTTCCGGTGGCATTCTGACTGAACCTGAAAGTGCAACAGAAATATGTGAGGCATTCAGTTCTGCTGAGGTATCCTGAGAAATAACATGTGCCTTGGCGCTAACGAGAGGAGGCACACAAAATAATTTCATGATACGATGAGGCTGCTCCTTTATTCGATTAAGTGTCCGAAGGCACTGTCGCCATGATTACCAAGATCTTATATTGAATTGTCCAGGATTTAATAATAGGGACTGTAACCTCTGGCACTAGTTGTTTCCATGATGACCAAGAATGTTGAATTTTCTGGAAGCTAGCAGATAAAAGTGTAAAGGTGTCCTTGTAACAGGCAGTGGAGGCCCATAAGGCTGTGAGACATCGAGGCTCCCACATTTTCTACACAATCGGTTAACAGATGGCGGTGAGGTTGTCAGCCTTATGCTCTGGCCGGTCATCCTTTACCCCCGGGAAGATTCCTGGTACTCATTTCTGTTAAGAGTCTGACCCGAACCCAGGGCCATAGTGTGGTTGAAAGGTTTAGGTCAAGTGAAAAATCCAGTGACCTCGTCGGGGGTACGCGGTAGCTTAGTTGGTTGAGGTACTATGCTACAAGCCGGAAGGTCGCGGGTTCAAGTCCCGATGAGGTCATTGGATTTTTTCAATTAACCTAATCCTTCCAGCCACACTATGGCCCTGGGGTCGACTCAGCCTTTAAGAGAAATGAGTACCAGGAATTAATTAAATACTTTTCCTGGGGGGTAAATTGCGGCCGGTGCGTAAGGCTGACAACCTTACCGCCATCTGTGAGCCGATTGTCTAGAAAATGTGGGAGCCTCGACGTCTCACAACCCTATGGGCCTCCACGGTCTGTTACAGGGATACCTTTACTTACTTTTTACTGCGGGAGATCAGATTAACCGGTGTTTCTGAACGCAGCCTAGGCTCCGTATCGACTAAGCTATTCCGGATTCTGTTAACTGATCTGAATCATAGTAAATTAATTTCGTTAAATCGCAGCACTGCTGATAATATCACAAGTATGTATATCAGGGTAGTTACGAAAGAGCCCCGTTTACTGACCTGTGTTAAGTCTCGCCGTGCCGCAGTTGAAGAATCAAACTGGTAACTGCGTCCTCAGTTACAGCGGAAGTGTCCCGGACCGGAAGTAGAACCAAATCATGGTGCCATTGCAGATAACTTGGCAGCAGCGACTTAGGACAGTTAAGAAGTTAAGAAAGAGCTGTGCCATAGCTCAGGCGATTAGGCTCTGGCTTCTTGTCACGGGGACCCGGCTTCAATCCCGGGTGACATTATATGAGCTTTATTTACTTTCTTATGGAGCTGAGCCCCTCTTGAGGAGCCGCCAATTGTGCAGCTACTCAAGAACTTCCCAGCATTTTATGGAACCCGAAGGTTCATTGCCGTGTTCACAAGAGCCCTCCATTGGTCCCTATCCTGAGCCAGATCAATCCAATCCATCCCATCTCATCCTACCTCTAAGACCCATTTAATATTGTCCAACCACCTACACTTTAGTCTTCCAAATAGTCTCTTTCTTTCTGACAATCCCACCAATATCCTATATGCATTCCTCTTCACCCCCATTCGTGCTACATGCCATGCCCACCTCATTCTCCTTGACTAGATCATTCTAATTGTTCATTACAAGTTATGAAGCTCCTCATTATGTAGTTTTCTCCAAACTCCTGTCACTTCATCTCTCTTCGGTCCAAATATTCTCCTCAGCACCCTGTTCTCAGACACCCTCAGTCTATGTTCCTCCCTTAATGTCAGAGACCAAGTTTCACACCCATACAGAACCACAGGCAAAATTGTAGTTTTGTGTATTCTAATTTTTATGTGTTTGGACAGCAGACGAGAAGACAAAAGGTTCTGGACTCCATGGTAGCAAGCATTGCCCGAGTTCAATCTCCTCTTAATATGAGTTTCATGGGGGACGAAGTAGCGGTGGAGAGGGCGTATCTCCAGATTACTCCCGTTTCCCCCTCTTTATTGTCACTCCACCATTGCACCATACTTATCTATGATAAGGCTACTCTTCGACCCTGAAGATGGAGACATTACATTTCTCCGAAGTGATCCCAAAAGATAATAATGTTCATAGTAACGACCTTGAAAATATCACAAACTTGACGCTCGATGGCGCAGTTGAAGAGATTGCTTACGTACTTAACCCTTGGCCCTCTTTAAGAGCTTTGGCCTCCATTAGGATGATGCCTGTTCTTCTCTGCTGTTCATACTGTGGCTCAGCCTCTTCGCTTACACTAACATTAAATCATTTTCTATGTCAGTCTGGGCATTTCCACTTTCCTTCTAACTTGTGGGACACACTTTTCAAAAATTTCCCGGCTACTCTTTGTTCATTCATTCTAACTACATGTCTCAATAATTCCAGTCTTCCCCTCTGATATCCATTACCAAATCAGGCGTTTATATAATTCCCCCAGTTCTCAGTTAGTTCGATCCTCCAAAACCTTTGCTCGGTTACCGTCCATAATACAAAACAAAAACCAAACTCCATGGCCTGTAGTCCGCAAGTGAACTCTACCGACCGAGTGACCGCCTCTTTTCGGCGAAGTTAGTGCCAACTTTTGCGGATAGAGGGTGTCACGTGGTCAGGGCAACGCATCTCCACTGCCGATAATTTCGGGTTTCTAGACCGGAGCCGCTATTTCCTTGAAATTACTCCTCAGTTATCCTCACGAGGCTGAGTGGACACCATTCCAGACCCACTACTTCTCAGAAAATCTGGTAGCGCCGGGAATCGAACCCGTAGCTTTGGATCTGTAGCCAGGAACTCTGACCACTAGACCACAGAGGCGGTCGAGCGTCCATTATCCTTCCTCAAAATGTTCTTCCGCATGTATTGAACACGATTAACTTATGGAGCTGAGTCTCTTAGAAACCCCCAGTCGCTGTCACGTACTCCAGAATTTCCCAACATTGGGCTAGATCCCAGAGGTCGAAGTTCGAGTCTCGCTAGAGGCGAGATTTTCTGCACGTCGTCCAGACCAGTTCTTTGATCCCACCCAGCCCCCTTTCCAATAGGTACCGGGGGCTCTTTCCCCTGGGGTAAAGCGGCCGGGGCGCGAAACTGACCACTCACCTCCAACTAGTGTCGAGGTCAAGAATACGTGGATGTATACATCCACTCCTCCATACCCCTTCATGGCATAGTGCTTAATTAGTTAAGCACAGGGACAGCTTAACCTCTTTTATGGAACTCGAAGGTTAATTGCCGTGTTTACAAAACCCCCTCCACCAGCTGCCGTCCTCAGAGACATGTATCTAATTCACACCACAGATTTCACTCAGATTCATTTTAATATTATCTTGCCACCTACGTCTGAGTGTTCCTAGTGGCCTCTTTCCCACTAGAACCCTTTATGTGTCCTTCTCTCCCATTCGTGCTACATGCCTTGTACATCTCCCCTTCCTTGAGTTGATCATTCCAATTATATTAGACTAAAAGTACTAACTAGTTGTGAAGCTCCTCAGTATATATTCTTCTGCAACCTGCTGTTGTAACATGACAGTAAGTTGTTGTACAGAAGGAGAGACGGAAGTGTCCAGTAACGTAACAAGCTTCGCCCCTGGAGTAGGGTGTGAGTTCAGTACCCACCCCCCTAGCCGACGCGTGTGGAGCCTTTTTGACCGGAGAGATTGTCTTATCTCGAGAGCAGCAAGTATCTTTGACCCTTAACCCTTATTCTGTCTGCACTGGTTACTACAATAAAGTTCAGTCTTGACACTGTTTGCTGTACCATATCTGATGCTACTTTGATATTCCCATTTTAATATTATATTCGTGTCTACGAGGAAGTAGTGTGGTTCAGTATCGTGAGTAAGCTACGGGCTATGGCCGCGCCATGGCTCAAGCGGCTAGTCGCTGGCTTCCCGATCCCGGGTCTGGTCAAGTGGGATTTGTGGTGGACAAAGTGGCTCTGGGGCGGATTTTCTCCGAGTACTTCGGTTTCCCCTGCCAATCTTCATTCTACCAAATTCCCCATTATCATAATCACCCGGGGCAGGCTCGCTCGGAAGCCGGGATCGTGGATTCGAATCCCACACAAGGCATAGATGTCTGGTGTGTGTTTGCGTTTATTTTGTGTTTGTGTTGTCCTGTGTTCAGGTAGAGGTCTTGTGACTAGCTGATCACTCGTCCAAGGAGTCCCACCGTCTGTAAAATGATCATGAAACTCAGAAATCAGCCCTAAGCTCCAAAGCGGGAGCGAGAAAAAAAATTAAAACACAAATAAATGGAAAACGTAATTATATAAATAGTGCTGATGACAATAAATAACAACAAATCAGTTTAGAGCCTTATTTAAGAACTATAAGATTATTCATCGATAGAAGACTCTGAAGTTGTACTTATTTCTGAACATACTCGTAATGCTGCAGTTTGGAAGAAACTCGAGTTTTGCCTGGACAAGTGTCTTATATGCTTTCCTAAGGGTGGCCGCACACCAACTGCATCAAGACATGAGGCAAAAGACGCAGTCTTTCTTCATTCGTGATTCGTCAGCATGAAGCTGACGTCAGCATCATGACTCAGACCGGTGTGCGGCGGTTTTCATAATCTCATTCGTTCCAACTGTGCTCCTTTCTTTACATCGTGTCTTGACTGTTACATGTCTTGACGCATGCCGGTGTGCGGCCTACCTTAATGCCACGTGTCTTTTAAAGCATGTACTCAACTGTGAACGGAATTTTTCATATTTCGATCTGGAGGCGGGTTAGCTCAGTCGGTATAGCGACTGGCTACAGCGGTCAGAGTTCGAGTCCCGGTAGGGTCAAGAATTTTCACTTCTCCATGTCGTCCAGACATGATGAAACTGGCGTTTCACTGGCGTGACTGGCAGTGGGGTTCACCCAACCTCCTATCCAATGGGTACTGGGGACTCTTTCCCTGAGGGTAAAGCGGCCGGAGCGTGAAGCAACCACTCACCTCCAGCTAGTGCCGAGATCAAGAAAATGTGGATCTATTCATCCACTCCCCCATACGTCTTCATGGCGTAGTGCTTACAGGGACAACTTTACCTTTTTACCATAGTTTGATCTCGATGAACTGTAGCCTGATTGGCGAGAGATTAGCTTTGTGTGACAGTAATGACACGAGAAGTCATTCTGTTAGAAGGACACTTACCATTGCAAAGATGGGAATTCCGAGGCGTACAACCAACATATATATCACTGATTTTTATCTGACTAATATGCAGCATCATGCTTAAGGTCGCTCCGAAAGCAACAAGAAGTGTTTGTTTGTGGTGTTGCTGGTCAGATGTTCACTAACTAGACCGCTAGTGAGACTCAAGATGGCGAGCAGGTACGTCTAACTGAATTTATTTCATTGTCCATATTACTCTGGGTGTTAATAGTTTATGCGTTTTGTTACTGTTCGGTTCCAAGACGTTTCGTCTTATCTAGAGACCTAACGATTAAGGCAATTTTAATTTAGAACACCCGACTTCTGGGACATGACACCATGTAGTCCGTAGAAAGTCAAGTGACGTTTCGGAGGAACATATCATCTCCACTTTCAGGGTCGAAGAATAAACCAAGCAGGAAACCAGCGCGAAGCATGCGACATGTTCCTCCGAAACGTCGGTTAATTTTCAGCGGACTACACAGCGTTATACCCCAGGCGGTGTGACTATCTGAAATCCTACAATTTTCATTCTATTTTGTACGGGTATGAAAGGCACCAAACACGTTAGTGTAAAGGTAGAAATGTATTCGGTTCGAATCTCGGCTACAACACCAGTTAACATGATTAGTTTCCATGGTTTTCCTCTGTGCCTCCAAGAGAGTTCTTAGATAGCACCACGATGAAGCCACTATTGCTGCTTTGAAAGTATTTTCCAGTTCATCACTCCTTTATCCGATGCTATAGAAGCGTCACTAAATAGCGTACGAAAGAAACAATATTGTGGCTTGAGAACAAATTGCTGATGAAAATATTTGGACCTGACGCATAATTTAAATGGGACGCAGTAGCGTAGTTGGTTGAGGCACTGTGTTAAAAGCCGAGGCCACGTCATGGCCCGGGTTCGATCCCAGGTCTGGTCAAGTGGGATTTATGATGGACAAAGTGGGGCTGGGGCGGGTTTTCTCCGAGTACTTCGGTTTCCCCTGCCAATCTTCATTCCACCAAAATTCTCCATCATCAGAATCACCCGGGGCAGGCTACAGTAGGGCAGTCAGTGGCCGCCGTGCCGAGTGGACCCAGTTGGACTCCACTGGACTCCACCCCCCACTAAGCGAATTAAAAAAAAATGCTACAAGCCGTAAGGTCGCGGGATCGAATCCCGATGATGTGGATTTTTTTTTTAATTTACCTAATACTGCCAGCCGCACTATGGCCCTGGGGTCGACTCAGCCTCTAACAGAAATGAGTACCAGGAATATTCTTGGGGGGTAAAGGGCGGTCGGCGCGTAAGGCTGACAGCCTCACAGCCATCTGTGAGCAGATTGTCTAGAATATGTGGGAGCCTCGACGGTCTGTTACAGGGATAGCTTTACCTCACCTTTTACCATAGTTTAAATAAATTAATTTTATTTCGCGTGAACCTAGCAGAAAGTTTCATAACGAGTAATAATACAAAGTTAATACTTCGAAGATTGCAATGTCTGTAATTGATATGGGCTATAACAAGGCTGCGCCCATCGCAGTGGCCGTGTGGTCTAAGGCATGCACTGTCTTCGCCTGCTTCAGAACTGGGATCGTGGGTTTGAATCCCACTCAAGGCATGGATGCTTATATGTGCGTTTATCCTGTGTTTGTGTTGTTCTGTGTATAGGAAGCCTCCTTGCGACGGGCTGATCCCGCTTCCAAGGAGTCCTACTGACTATGAAAAAATATTACGAAACTGAAGAAGAGTCTATGGCCCAACAAAATGGCTGTAGAGCCACTGATGAACGAGAAATGAACCGAGTAGATACCTGCTAAACTACAGAGACGCATTCTGCGGAAGGAACTGTGAATGACGTACTAACGTTATCCTAAAAGCGAAGGAAGTGATATTGTGTAATTCCGGAAGTGCCTGTATTTTAGATAAACTGCATAACTCGGGCCACAGTGAACTCATCCCTTTATAATAAGCAAACGTTGACTTCACATGCAACTGTGTAATTCTTAGGCCGCGCCATAGCTCAAGCGGTTAGTCGCTGGCTTCCCGATCCCGGGTCTGGTCAAGTGGGATTTGTGGTGGACAAAGTGGCGCTGGGGCGGGTTTTCTCCGAGTACTTCGGTTTCCCCTGCCAATCTTCATGTCACCAAATTCTCCATCATCATAACCACTCGGGGCAAGCTACAATAGGCCAATCAGTGGAAAGAAGTCGAAACTATATTCCTAAGACTGTAAAAAGTTACCCTATAACAGACCCTGGAGGCGCGAAGGGTTGTGAGACGTCGAGGCTTCCACATTTTCTCTAGACGATCGGCTCACAGATGGCGGTGAGGTTAATTTGGGTCTATTGCTGAAACAATTGAAGCATTTTCCCACTTTGTAGATTTGGATGTCACCACGGAGAATAAAATAATTCTTCAGCAAGATCAAGAGCTTAAAGAGACGGTAGTTGGGTTCCCGACCGAGAATCGAACCGACCACTTCTCGTATAGAATTTAGGATCGTTGCCGCCTGGGGTAACTTTCTTGGCTGGTGGGAATTTGGCGACGTAGAACTGCCGAAGATGCATAATTATTAATCGTAAACAAAACGTGATCGTCAGTTCTTAGCACGCGTGTTGACCTTCCTTGTCGTGCAGTAACACCACAACACACGCTTCAACCCCGAAGACTGGCAACATCGCTACACCGACATCCTGTAAGACCCAAAGAACAGAGCCAAAATCAATACTTAACCCTCATGAAAGCATAAAACGAGTAAAGTTAAGACGCCGTAGAGGCCTATAGGGTTGTGAGACGTCGAGGCTCCCACATTTTCTCTAGACACTCGGCTCACAGATGGCGGTGAGGTTGTGAGCCGTACGCGCCGGCCGTCCTAGAAGCCCCGGAGGATTCCCGCTACTCATTTATGTTAGAGGCAGGGTTCATTCCAGGACCATAATGCGGCTGGAGGGATGAGGTCAGGTGAAAAATACAGTGTCCTCATCAGAAATTGAACCCTTGACGTTCCGGTTTGTAGCATGAGGAATAGATTAAACATGTCAACCAACAAAGATTCATGCAAATGAATTGTAATGATGAAACTAAATGCTTACAGGAGTATTGCACCCAATGGACATAAACCTAGTTATTGGCACAGCCTGGGTACTGAGCCCATGACCCATCATACAATTGGACAGCTGGTGGATATTGCAGCAGAGCGCTGGGGTGACAAAGAAGCGCTACTGTCCCTCTATCAGGATCACCGCATCACCTTCAGCGAAGCACGTGACAAGGTAACTTCTATTACGTATAGTTTGAAGCAGTGCTCGTCCAATTCACATACTCCAAATATATCCTTTTTCTTTATTGTTAGTGGGGTGGGACTAAGTCCCTTGTACTGCGGCCACTTCTGGCCTATTGTACCATCCCCAGATGATAGGTGAGGGTGATTGTGGAGCAATTGGTGGAATGAAGATTGGCAGGGGAACCCGAAGTACTCGGAGAAAAACTTCCCCAGCGCCACTTTGTCCACCACAAATCCCACTTGACCAGACCCGGGATCAAACCCGGTCTGCCACTGTGGGAAGCCAGCGACTAACTACTTGAGCTATGGCGCAGCCAAATACATCCTTAATATCCAACATAAAGAAATGCTTACAAGTAAGGAAATTTCATGGAAATTGTGTCTTGATGACAGAGAGACTAGTGCTGACAGACTCATCTACAGGGAAAATTAGCAGACTACTGCCTGCAGGGTTGCTGCACTCTGACATCTCACTGTGTTACCATGATCTCACACAGAATTGTAATGATTTTATTGTATGGAGATAAATTCATTATGCAGTTTTACACATCTCACTGGCTTTGTTGCTCATTTCCTGCAAATACGAAAGGGTAGCCCATTTAGCGACTGGCTATGGGCTGGACGACCAACAAGTCGGAGTTCAAGTCTCAGTGGGGGCAAGAATTTTCAGTTCCCCATGTCATCCATACCAGTTGTGGGGTCCACCCAACTTCCTATCCAATGGATACCAGGGGCTCTTTCCCCAGGGGTAAAGCGGCAGGGGCGTGAAGCTTACCACTCACCTCCAACTAGTGCCGAGGTCAAGAAAAAGTGGGTTTATACATCCACTCCCCCCATACACCTTCATGTCATAGTGTTTAATTAGTTAAGCACAGGGACAATTTACCTTTTTTACAAGTTTAGTTTACGTTAATGACACTGTGGATATCAATCTGGACAAATCATAAATCATTTTGTTCTGTGTTTAGTTCTATATTCACCATAATAAAAAAACTTTAACCCTGCAGGTGCAAAGTGTCAATAGTTTCAAGCTTTACAGAAATAGCCATATCCCACAGCATGTGACATCTGTTAGCATTTTGTCTGTACTGCATAGTCAAAAAGTTCTCACAGTGGCAACTACAAAAATTACTTTTCCTTGGATGTGATGCCATGTAATCTGGGTGAAGATTACCCTGATACTGGAGGCAGCATATTTCCCCATAACATCTATAAGCAGGCTACACAGTGTCACATTCCAGAGGGAAGTAATTTAAAGTAAAAATTGTAGAGGTTATATGTGTCATATGCCCATATTTTGGACAATAATTCCCCTTTATTTGGAAGACATTTTATGAGCTTAATGGTCATCTTCCTGTAAAGTTCAGGTTACAGTCAACAGATGTGAGCTAAAAATTACATTTTCCTCACAATGTTTTAGTTCATTCTTCCCATACCAAAAGTCGTCTAAACTTTTAAAATATTTTATGGGGTAAAAGATGCTATTTGAAATCCAGAAGGACATGACCTCACCATTATGTATTAATTTTGTTCACTGAGATGACAAAATCAGCTGTGCCATAGCTCAAGCAGTTAGTCGCTGACTTCCCACCATGGCGGCCCAGGTTCGATCCCGGTTCTGGTCAAGTGGGATTTGTGGTGGACAAAGTGACGCTGGGGCAGGTTTTCTCCAAGTACTTCGGTTTCCCCTGCCAATATTCATTCCACCAATTGCTCCACAATCACCCTCACCTATCATCAGGGGCTGGTACAATAGGCCAGAAGTGGCCGCAGTACAAGGGACTTAGTCCCACCACACCACACTCAACTTTTGTTGCTCAAAACAGAGGCCACCTGTTATCTGAATGTCAAACTCACATGACAGTGGCACAGCTAATGCTGAAGGTAACTGTTAGCCATAAGTATGAGTACTCTCAATGTTCATATCATGTACACTTTCACAATGAAGATTAATTGTTCTGTAATTTCCTCAGGCAGACCATCTTGCTGCGGGTCTCCTACAGTTGGGACTCAGCCCCGGGGACCGATTAGCCATCTGGGGACCCAACTCTATCCAGTGGTACATTTCCAGATTGGCAGCAGCAAGGGGTGGTTTCATTGCTGTGAGTAAATCTTAGAATTATGTGGTGCAATGATGCGCCATTTGCACTCAACTGGCCAAAAATATTGTGCTGTTACATCACTCGATAATTCATCAATCTGTTTATGGAAATCCGCCTGGCATTGGATAATATCGTGAGCACTCTGTAGTTCATACATTTATAAGTCATCTGGGACGTGATGCTGTATATTCATATACATGTTTACCAACGTTTTGGAGAGATGTCCTGTCTCCATCTTCAGGACAGCGCAGTGGTGCCAAAATAAATGGCATGAGACTCATCTATCCTTCTGAAGATGGAGTTGTCATGCTCCTGTGAAATGTTGTTACCTGTCAAAAAAACTACATGGCATCATATCCCAGAAGTCCATAATTTTAATAATCAGGTCATTGGATTTTTTCAATTGACCTAATCCTTCCAGCCGCACTGTGGCCTTGTGGTCAACTCAGCCTCAAACAGAAATGAGTACCAGGAATTAAATAATTTTCCTGGGGAGTAAGGCGCGGCAGACGCGTAAGGCTGACAACCTTACCGCCATCTTTGAGCCGATTGTCTAGATAAGGTGGGAGCCTCGACGTCTAACAACCCTATGGGCCTTCATGGCCTGGTACAATGGTAGCTTTACTTTTTTACTTTTTTGTAGTTATTAACAGATGCCTGTGTCATGTTCTTGCAGGTTCAGATTGACCCTGCGTACCAGGCACCTGAACTACTGCACAGTCTCACCAAAGTTGGCGTCAAAGCACTTATCAGCACGGAGTCATACAAGACAAGCTGCTCTTATCAGATTTTGCGTGCTGTGATCCCAGAACTGGATAACTGCCCAGAGTCTGGAGACCAATTGCGATGTGCTAAAGTTCCGTCACTACGGTCTCTGGTCATCATGAGCAATAGGCAGTATCGGTAGGCACTGTTCCTCCATCTTTGGGAATTTTAAGTAATCCAGCTCTTCCTTAGACATCCTTTACTTCTTCCCCTTGGTATGTTGTTGCACATTCCTTTTGTAATATTTGTTATTTAACGATGCTGTCAGTACCCAGAGTGTATCGTTTTGATGATAAAATGGTTAGTGAATAGGAGCAGTTAGTGGAATGAGAATTAGCAGGGGAAACCGAAATACTCAGAGAAAACCTACTCCAGTACCACTGTGTCTACCTTACTTACTTATGGAGCTGAACCCTTCTTGAGGAGAAGCCAAATCTGCAGCTACTCAAGAATTTCCAAGCATTTTATGGAGCCCAAAGGTTCATTACCGTGTTCACAAGAGCCCTCCACTGGTCTCTATCCTGAGCCAGATCAATCCAATCCAATCCATACCATCCCATCCTGTCTCTCTAAGATCCATTATAATATTGTCCACCCACACCTTGGTCTTCCCAGTGGTCTCTTTCCTTCTGTCTTTCCCACCAATATCCTATATGCATTCTTTTCTCCCCCATTCGTGCTACATGCCCTGCCCACCTCATCCTCCTTTACTTGAGCATTCTAATTATATTTGGAGAAGAGTACAAGTTATGAAGCTCCTCATTATGTAGTTTTCTCCAGCCTCCTGTCACTTCATCTCTCTTCAGTTCAAATATTCTCCTCAACACCCTGTTCTCAAACACCCTCTGTCTATTTTCTCCCTTAATGTCAGAAACCAAGTACTGTGTCTACCACAGATCCCCACATGACCTGACCCAGGAACAAAACATGCCTTCTGGAATTAAGTGTCTCTAAACCTTTCTGTGTGTTCTTTCTGTTTCCATGTGTAATCTAACATTCTGCAGTTTATATTGCTGTCTTATTCAGAAGGCATATGTTTGTATAAAGGGTGGGCCTTCTCGGCCCTTGCACCGCGACCTACAGTGGTCTGTTGTGCTTAAGGCATGTTTTTAGTGCGATAACAAAATATACACATTGAATTTTGTGGTCAAGTTGGTGGCACCCCTGCTTCATAGCCAGACAGTACCAAGTGATGTCATGACCACTTCCTTCCACATCTCTTCCCATTCATTATTCACAGTCATCCGGTCATGCAGCACTACACAGTCCGAGCTGCTAGAAGCATTGTTACATAAGCGAGAAATGAAAATAAAATAATTATCCTTATTAAATTTTCTATCATAATTATAATACGTTTACTGCCAAATTAAATTGCTTATGGAACACACATTCATTTGTTACAGAGGAGCTTATAGATTCAGTGATGTCATAGCATCGGCAAGTCCTGAATCTTTGAAGAGGATCAAGGACTTGCAAACACTAATACAGCCTGACGCTGGATGCACCATCCAGTATTCTTCTGTAAGAGTTTCATGTATTACCTAATTCACAAATTTAATACGTGGTTTGCTTGTTCAGATGGAGACCGTAAGCTTGTTTTGGCAGATTCCTGCTCACTGAGTGGAACAGCTTTCTGAGTTGTTACCCAGTTTCAGTCCATTACGCATGTGGTTTCGAAACTTTATGTAATGGTGTCCCCTCAGCAAAGATTTCATTGTACTCCCCTTCATGATTTTGTCTGTGCATAAAGAACAGCTTTTTATTTTCTATCAATTAATATTTATCAAGAGTTTAGAAATATTATGGCATTTGAGAATTATAATTAATCAAGTTTTACTGTAATGTATTACTTTGACAGATTATCCTTTGCCCCCCCCTCCAGTTGGGGGTTGCACCTTATACGAACTAAGAAGTGACAGAACTCCCTAACAGATGTGCAGCAGTAAATATTTCACTGCTTAATATTGACAATGGAGCATGTGGTAGGGTAGTTGGTTGAGGCACTATGCTACAAGCTGGAAGGTTTCAGGATCGAATCCCGATGAGGTTGATTTTTTTCAATTTACCTAATCCTTCCAGTCGTACTATGGCCCTGGGGTCGACTCAGCCTCTAACAGAAATGAGTACCAGGAATATTCCTGGGGGTAAAAGGCGGCTGGCGCATAAGGCTGACAACCTCACTGCCATCTTTGAGCCGATTGTCTAGAAAAAGTGGGAACCTGAACATCTCACAACCCTATGAGCCTCCACGGCCTGTTACAGGGATAGCTTTACTTATTTAAAAAAAAGTCAAGCTATCCCTGTACCAGGCCGTGAAGGCCCATAGGGTTGTGAAACGTTGAGGGTCCCACATTATCTAGACAATCGGATCAAAGACAGCAGTAAGGTCGTTAGCCTTCCACGCAGGCCGCCCTTTACCCCCCAGGAAAATTATTTAATTAATTCCTGGTGCTCATTTCTGTTAGAGGCTGAGTGAACCCCAGGGCCATAGTGCAGCTGAAAGGATTAGGTCAATCAAAAAAATCCAATTACCTCATCGGGACTTGAACCCATGACCTTCCAGCTTGTAGCATAGCCTCTCAACCAACTACACTACCGCGTGCCCCCAGCTTTACTTATTTTACTATTTAATATTGACAGTATTTGATATAAAGGGGGCACTAGGCCACCATAAGGTTAACATCCCTGCTTTGCTGTGCTGTATTCACCCTTCACTTTCATACTTTATGCTGATCTCATGCAACTGACTCAGAAATCCTCTTTCTTTAACCCAGGGCACAACTGGACATCCGAAAGCAACATTGGCGACCCACCACATTCTGGTTAACAATGCCATCATCGCTGGAAAATGCATGGAACTTAATACAGAGGTTCTGTATTGTGTATGCTGGTTCCCCACAACATATGTAGCTTTCACATAGAAAACAGATTATTATTATTATTATTATTATTATTATTATTATTATTATTATTATTATTATTTTAGGTTTCAGTACCTAACTGTTGGTTAATTTTTAGTGTAGAATGTAAAAATAATTTGATGCCATTGAAAGTCAGCCGACATTTCGGAGGAATATATCCCCTCCATCTTCAGGGTTGACTAAGCTTGCAGCCTTCACGCTGATATCTTGCTCAGATTATTCGACCCTGAAGATGGAGTTGATATATTTCTTCGAAACGTCGGTTGACTTACAGTGGGCCACACGATGTTATATCCCAGATGATAGTACTCTTCGTAACCACCGGTGTGAGGACCTCATATCCTACATGAAAATGATTTGTTGGTTTTTCTTTTCCTTTATTACAGGAAACTAGGCTTTTGGTTTGCCCACTGTTCTGCCACGTGACTGGAAGTGTTTGCGGTATCATTTGTGGCCTCTGGTATGGCTACACTACCGTGCTTCCCGCAGCTACTTTTGATGCCACAAAGACTCTGGCTTCCATTCAGCAAGAAAGGTAAGGCTGAACTCTTCTGACAGTAGTTAGGTCTCCTGT